TAGAGCTGTGCCAATAAAGCAATCCAGCTGTACTGAAATATTACCCAAGAAAGCCTCTTGAAGTGAAATCAAGAAATTAGGTTATTTTACAGCCAGCCAGAGCTAGAGTTCATGGTTTATAGTAATTTACTCATGGTTCTACAGTCAGGATGCCACTGTGGAAGGAAGAAAACAATAGGAAAATCCAAAACAAGTAGTACCCAATTAAAAAATGGATATATAATGTCTGTTGACCTGAAATGAACATTTAATTCACACTGGTGCCCGTTTTTTAATAGAGTAGAAACAGTAACAGATTCGGTTTTCTGTCACACGCCAGTCTATCCACGTTCTCACCCCATTGCAGCAACACCCACTTGCTTTCCAGTAGTGCATTAAGCAACACCTCCTTTGTTCTCTCTTCCTCTGCCCCAGGGGAGACGTTTGTAGGAGGATTTGCTTTGATAATTTGGATGCTTCTCTTTAATGTATATGTTGCAATGTATTTATGTCATAAAGGCAGGTTAAATAACCTTGTTTACATTTGGATGATGATGTTTGCAATTGTCTTAGCTCCTGAGGGAATTAATTCCATACTCTTGGACCAGACTTTAAAAGTTTTTAACCACCTGCATTAAGGAGATACTTTAAGGCCAAGGGGGTAATTTTTTTTTCATTTTTGTAATGTTTTTTCATCTTGAATTTTAGTCCATCTTCTAGATTACTGGTTTTGAAAACAAGGTGTGTGGACTCAAGGGGTATGAAAGATAATCCACTGGGGTGCACAAAGAAAATGCATTCTGTACCATTAATAAATAATTAATTTTATCTTTAGCTCTAGTTTTATCTTTATCTTTAGTCCTTTAGTTTTAATTTTTTCTGTTTTCTAACATGCATAATATATCATTATGACATTAGATATATATATAATTTATAAATAAAAAATACAAATATATTGGGAATTATGCTCAAAGTTTTTTTTAGTGATAGGGGTACACTACCAAAACCTTTTGAAACCACTGTCCTAGAGAGCCCTATCTATCCCCTAATGATAGTGCACCCTAATAACATTGATATCCCAGATTTCGATCAGTATTTATAAACCAATGGAAAAAAACCTCTAATATAACCATCAAGCATGCTTTTAAAACTGCTGCTGTTGTGGAGAGTTGCTACAGCCTTCCTATTCCACATTGATTTCCCTGGTGCCAAGAATCCCCAGCAGAAATAGCATGTAGCTGTGCTCTAACCAAGAGGTGTAAGAAATATGAGAATAGAGCACAACAGATCTGCGAACACAGGAGTCTCCTGGCCAGGAATGACTCAATATTGCTGCCCTCATGAGCTGCTTCTAGAGTACCAGCACAAAACCCAGAATTGCTCCCAAACTGTAGACTGAACTGACTGTGGGTTTGTGCATTCCCACCAAGGAAACTGCAGTGGACAGTTAATTCTTCAAAAGTAATTTCTCTGAGAACCACTTCTGTCTTCCAGAGTCTTCTGGTTCAAGAGCTGATACCTTTATGTCCTGTCCTTGAAAGCACAATGGAACTGTTGATGTGAGTGTTGATTTGACACAGGCTGGGTGACCTGTGCTAAGTGCATTAGCATTAGCACCTGGTTTTGAATATGTAGCCTCCCTAGATTAAATCAAATTATTACAAAGGCACTAGCTTTGAAAATACATACACAGAGATGTGTCTGCAAGACTTTTGCTGAAGTAGCCACTTTGATTTAATCTCAACAGTACTATACCTTAACCCATTCTCTGCCACACAAAACCAATTAGATATTTTCCAGTTTATTCACACCTTCCAGAAAAGCCTTGTATTATACTGAGGTAAGCCTGAAGTTTTCCCGACTAAACCAGGTTTTCACAAAGCATCAGAGTTCACACTTTAGCAGTACTATAAAAATGGGGGGATGTGGGAGGGGAGGAGCTCCTAGAGAAAACAAGAGATGCCTTTTTGAAACGCCAATTTAGCAACAATGTTCCCCACAGAACATTAAGATGTAGCAGATTAGGACAACTGCTTGTCCGTACCACAAAGAAGAGGAAGAGGAGGGAAAAAAAGGATGTTGAGCAAGAACAATTCAGGGTGGCACCCGAAGTGCTGATGCTTCTAAGACACACTTCAGGTCCATGCCACAGAGAAGGGAACAGCGACTAATATTTCAGCAACCTTTTCCCAGGCCTTAAGGGAGTGTCCAAGATAACAATGGGCATTCCTACTAGGATTCTGATCCAGATCAGGGAATGCATTAGGTGTAAGGTCACCAACACTGAACGTGGGAGCCCCTTGTAGCACTGTTTGTGGCGAGAAATGTTTTGGCACAGCTGAGAGCTTTGATGGTTTGGCTTTGGGAAAATCAATGTCAGGGAGAAGGATGGCACGAGGGCAGTGCAGAGGCAGCCAGCATTGCTGTGGAGTCCTTCCCTTGCTTGCACTAGCCTGCTTTGGGAAAACAGAAAAAAAAGGGAGCATTAGCTCAGGGAATGGCTGCTGAAGTTGGCAGGGGATATTTCTAAGGGCAAAATGGAGTGTCAGGGTCTCGAGCCCACTTTCATCTTCCTGAGGGTTTGGCTGTCTGGGCTGAGGGCCAGCTCAGAGACACTGCAGGTGGTGACCTTGAGGAAAACTCTTACTGAAAGTAGAGCAGGGTGGCATCAGCCAGGGCTGCCCCTCCTTCTCCTGGAACCTGCATCAAAGTTGATTCTCTTCACTTTCCTCTTCCCTTTGGACTCTGCCTGTGTTTTGCTGCAGTAGCACTGCAGCCATGCCTGTGCATTGCTTGCCAGACTGTCAGAGAAAAATATTTGCACAACTTTGTCTGGCATTGGCAACAGCAGAAATTGCAACATCTATACTGTGTTCAGCACCATTAACATTTGAGAGTGCTAGCCCTGTTCCTTACTGGCCTGGCATTACCATTTTTGCTGGCACATTTCACTCAGTTTTAGGAATTTTGATTTAAATTTTATTTTCTGAGTGAATAAAGCTATTCTATATACAATATTCTAAGGAATCTTTTTAATTCCCTTCAGCAAATACAGTTATAATTATGGCTGCTGTATAGAATTGCAGGATTAGCAAAGTATGCCAGTAATTAATTGGCTTGTATAGCTTCTTTATCTCCTCCCAAGAAAGGAATCCACAAACATTGTCCTACAAGAAGGACATTTCAATAAGAACAATTTTCAAATTCATTCCTGTTTAACACTGTGTGGACTAACTCCACCCAGCTGAGATTCTGCAGCCCCTGATAAGTGTTAATAACTGCTCAGTAATTAATATAAGGCAGGCTGAATGGAGATATATGCCCTCCGTGAACTTTGGTAGCTTAAGATAAAGAGTACCATTGGTCCACTAACAGATTTTGAAGTAGGAAAAGTGTGTAAGATTATCCAGAAAACCAAGAATTGGATAGTTGTATAAAAAGAGAGGGATACATTGGATTACCCAAAGTTAGCAGTCAGTGTTAGGAGGAGGCTGTAACCTGACTGAAGGGGCACTGATCAAAGTCACAGGGAAAATGCAGTTGCTTAAGTACCCAGAAGGACTTTGTTCCCTTCCTGATTAGAGAGTATCTTTGACAGCTCATTCACTGCCTGATAAAGCACATCCATCCAAGCTGCAGACTGAAAAATACAGGACTACTATGGAGGCCCACCAAAGAAACAAAAGACATGAAAGAACAAAAATGTACTATTTTTTCAGTCAGGCAAAGGTTGAAAACCAGATGTTTTCAGAACTGATCACTGTTCAGAAGAAATACCTAACCCAGACAGACAAAAGGATCAGAAACCTGTGAATCAGAAGGAATAAAAAATCTTAGGTATAAACATGCTAAATTACTTTAAAAGAGGTTGAAGCTAAGTGGAAATGCCCTGCATTTGTGAAGATTAAACTGGTCATAGCTGTAGCCGTAGGAATTAAAAAAAATAAAAAAATCCCTTCATCATCTGAGCAGTTGGCCACAATGAATGAGCAGATTTTAGACTCCTGTAGCATGCTTCAGGTAAGGTCTTTCATTTCTACTTCAGAAAAATAATTTTTTAGCAAAATCTTACGTTCTTTCTTCATGGAAGTCATGGAAGCACACGAAAATATCTAGAGGTTCAAGTACTTCACTGGAAAAAAAATCATTTAGGCTGCAAGTGACAGACTGAAACAAAAAGCAGGGCTGTCCTTGTGTAGAAAAAAAAAGAATGGGAAAAAAAGAAACGATAAAAACCAGTTATGTGAAGCTACAACATTAAGATCAGACTAAGCAGAATTTTCCAAAAGAAGAGACAGTTAGTAGTCATAACAACAACAGTGGTAGATAAAGCACAATCACTTCATAAGGATGTTTAGGAACTCCAACATGAAAATACAAGAAAATGTAATCTAAAGAGATTAGGAAAAGACAGTGCAGGGGATCCATGAAAGAAGGGAAAGCACTATGCATCCCATGGGCCTTGCAGGCAAGCTGATGATGCAGCTAGAGGGGAAGGCTCTGCAACAGGAAGGGCACATTTGGAAAGAGGGTGGCAAGGACAGCTCTTCACAGCCAGACAGACAAAACCCCTTTCAGAAGCCTGTGGGCCACTGGACCCCTCTAGGTTTAAGAGTAACAGGAGGTCACTCACATGACCACGAGAAAATGTACAAACTGGGAATGAAGTCTGGAGCCCCTCCCTGGATGTGAACTTTCACCAGTAGTGTAAAATCAGAGTGACACAGCCCCAGAGCAGACTGTCCCTGGGCCGAGGGGCAGCACTGCCACCCTGCATCCAGGTGCTGCCTGTGCATCTGGCATCCTTGACAGGAACAGCTCAAGTTCAGGATAAGGAAATTATGCATTTAATTTTGCAATTATTGAAATTCACCTATTAGACCTTCTGACATATTTTGTTGAATAAGGCTGCTATTACACCTCTGGATGCTTTCAAATTGTTTTGTATTGCCAGAGTGGTATAAAAGAACTTAGCATGAAGGAGATTTAAGCCAGGAATGTGTAACAGGAAAGGCACAGACCTGTTTGGAAGAGCTACAAAACCCATGGTGCAGACAGGAGTAGGTCATGCGCTGGCACTCAGCTCGCAGACAGGTGTGCCGGCTGCTCGGTGACATGATCATTCTTCCAGTTGTTCCTTACCACTCCTCTGCCGAGAGATTCCACCCCCGCAGCTCTGTTGGCAGAAGGAATTAAGTGAGCACTCCCTCGTGTGCTTCCAACAAGTCAGATGGATTAGTCAACAAAGAGGGTATAAACCAACCTGCTCGCTTTGCCTGAAGCAAATGAAAGTGCTCCCAAACAAACCTTTTTACCAGCTGAGCTACAGCTGCATCAGAGGGGAGGCACGAAGGTACAACCTGGCAAAACCTTCAAGGGGCACATTCACATCTGGTACACACTGGTACACACTGTTATCCAGAGATTTATAAGTAAGCACAAGTTATACCCTCTTACACACACAACACCTGTCCACGTGTATATGTTACTCTTCAGGAAACACAAAGTTGATGCAATTACACTGAAAATTCTTCCACCATGGGCTAAATTAAGGCACATTATCTCATAATTGTTGTGTACTAAGAGCATGCAAGGGAACAGGTATCAGACAATGGATAGTTAGCTTTCATTCATAATACCTTTGTAACCTAAGGTCACAGCGAAGGGAACAGGTATCAGACAATGGATAGTTAGCTTTCATTCATATCTTTGTAACCTAAGGTCACAGCATGTGATTGTGCAAAACTAAGTAATTGACCTGAAAAGATTGTGATTTACCTTTCCAAATATCATTTACAAGGTAATTCCAAGATGAATTATTGTGCAAGCTCAATTTGAGTTCAATTTACCTCAGAAACAGCTGCTGATTTAGTCCAAACATTCTGCTGACACAACCAATGTGAGAGTTTCTACTCATAGGAATTACATGTTCAAGTCTTCTCCAATTGTAATCTGGAGACAAGGATTGTGAAATGACCAGATATGCCTGTGCCAGGCTGGAAGCAATGAAATTCCAGCACACACAAGTCCTCCCATGGCTTTCAGTGCTCCCTAGGCAGCTGAACACGTGCCACCAAAATCTACTTTGGTATGTGTACTTCAGTGACACCTGAGCGTAAGGAGAACTGCAAACTAAGGATGGCATCAAGGTTTCTGAGTTCTTCCTTATTAGCTTCAATTGTATTCTCTTCCTGGTACTTGTGCTGTGGAATAGCAGAGTTCAAACTGCAAAGTGACAGCTTATAATATTTATTTTTTGCCATGATCTATTTTTCCACTTCTGGGGTATCAGGAAAAATGTGCACTTGTTTCTACCCTGGTAATAAAGCTCCAGTTCCAATCCATTCACTTTCCTGGTTGATTCCCACAGCAGAGAAATGCTTTGAGAGATAGGAGCACCTTCTCTCCTATGAGCCAACTTCCAGTTTACAAAATCCCTCAATATACAGAAGTATTTGAAGTGAAATTTTCACATGGCTAAGAATATAGATTTCATAACACAAAATATCATATTAGTGAGCCTTGAAAGTTCTTTTAAAAAATCTTGAATCCTCCTTACTGAACACCCAATGCAGAGATACAGACTCTAGGGATAGGAAAACAATCCATCAGTTTCAGAAGCTATCTTGGAAGAGTCAGCCTCCTCATGAAAATGTTTCTAAGGTCACAGTAGGAATTGCAGGACACAAATCATTCCAGTTATAACACGCTATTAGTATAAGTGCTTTTTTTTTTTTGAAAGTGCTTATGATTGGTATGGCATGATGTTTCTCATGGCATGATCTATTTCTCACTCATTTCTGTAAGAGTTCAATCAGACTTTAAACACTCTCCTCAGCTGCAACAAAAGGAGACACTGGATGTGTGTTACAAAGTCAATGGCCATGGTGGGGGCTTGGAATTATGTGATACCTATGGTCCCTTTCAACAAAACCATTCTATGATTCTATGGATAACACACAGGCATCAGCCATGCAAGTATGAGAATTTAATCCTCAGAGTCTTGCACAACAGATTTTATCATCTAAAAGCAGAATATCCTACGCTTTTGTGTGGGAGCTTGCAATTTGTTCACTGAAAACCTAATTCAGCAGTATATACAAACACAAATGTAAAAGTTTTGGTAGAGTGAGCTTTAAGTAGTATTAAATATTAAATGCATTATGAAATGCAAGTGATTATATTCATCCACAAAGGAATTTTGTAAACCATTCTACCCAGACATATATACAGCTGGAGTGATGAACAGGATTTATGTGATTCTCGCTCCCTTTTCACAGCATTATGACCATTTATTTTTAAATATCAGACAAAACAAAAATAAGTAACAAGTAATGCCTTCCTGGATGGTGTCCCCTGCACAAAGTACTACCAGTGACTGGCAGTTGCATAGTTATATTTGGATTTCTCCAGATTTGGAGCAAAATGCCACACTGCAACAGTGTATGTAGCCTTGAGGTATCAATTATTAATTCTGTTGTCTTGTGTGAGGCACTGGCTTTTCATTTGCAGGAAGCTGAATCAGTTTATGTTTCTTCCCAACTGAACAGTGGAAGATTTCTACATCTTTCTGTAACACAGGAGAAAGAAGCAGAGAGAGCCAAAGGACTATCAGAGACATAAGGTAAGGAAGCTCCACGTTGTGTCTGGAGAACTAGATTTCTGAATAAAACTGCATTTTCCATCTACAGCCCTAGAATAGTTAACCTCTAAAGATTTCTTACCTACACTCCCATCAAAGAGTGTAAAAGCAAAGATATCCTGGCTGTTGTCCAAATGAATGAACTTTAGCAGTAAACACTACTGACTCTCAAGAGACTGTGACAAATGTATGTTAAAAAATACCAGCAGGTGTATATCAATGGCTATTTTTTTTATTATGAGCCTTAATAGCATGTGGGTTTGTCAGGACAAATGTATGTTAAAAAATACCAGCAGGTGTATATCAATGGCTATTTTTTAATTATGAGCCTCAGTAGCATGTGGGTTTGTCAAGGGAACTGAAAAGCTGAAGAAGAAACTGTAATGTTGTTACAAAATAAATGCATTTTTGCTACAGTATCTCAGGATGTTTTTGGAAATATTTTGTCCTAGTATGAACACAGCAGAAAACTGCATTTGCAACAAAGTAATCTGAAAATTTCAGACTGCTTTGAAAATTTCTCAATTTGGCGAGAATTTCTGCTGTGAAGATTAAGTGGTTTGCAAATTTTTGCAAATTACTCAGCAACAAAGAGCATCGTGCAAAAGTTAAGATTACTTAGGGAGACCTGTGTCTGTGAAGACTGTCAAATGCAGTTAATAAGCAGACCAATGCAATCTTGATTCTAGCATGGCAGAGCCATAATAGAACAATTAAATTAGCAACAATGATTCAGTTATGTTCCCTTTTCTGAGAGCACTGCTCAGGGGTGGAATCCCTCATAAAGAGCTGACAACAAAGGTATGATGAGACCATTTGGGAGGAGCTGCTGCAAAAGCTCAGCACTCGGGGAGAGTCTGAGAGGGTGTCCAGAAACTTACAGCGAACTCTAGGGTTGGCTCTGCTTCGAACTGAGTGAACTCCAGAGGCTTCCTCCAATCTAAATCATTTTATGATTCTGTATCGATCTGTCACCACTCGAGATTACCTGTTGCAATTAAGTAAAACCTACTTCCACTTCAGAACAGAAGCCCTACAGCTCCTCACCCTCCCATTCCTCCCGTGTGTTTGGCAGCTCATTCCTGGATGCCCACGGAATAGGTTTTTAACAGACCAGTCCAGGGTGCACTTAATGTTCCAGGAGATGACAAGCAGCCTACTCTGTAAATGTGAATCCCAGCAGGGATTCTTCCTGCAAACTTTCTGTACACACTCACTGCCATCTGCGCTGATTTGAACATATACTGAGAAAGAATCTACACCACAAAATACTTCTTTAAAAACAATACAAAATGGGTAAGAAATTCTAACGTAGGTAAGGGCTGAGTTAGCAACAAATGCTGACAGGTGAGAATCAAGCCACAGGAATGCAAAATTTTTGATACATCACAAACCCTAAAACTTTATGAACTACAGGTCTGTTTTGGGCTGTATCATCGGAACCTTTTGCTTCAATGGACCCAGACCTGTATCATTACCTTCACCCTGTGCCCCAGCGAGGCACAGCAAAGCTAAAAATTCTTTTACTCCCATCATTCATCTGACTCTTTGCCTAGATTTAGACCATTTTTGCTCCTCTCCTGGAAATCCGATACTGCCTTTTATAGTTACTCTGTTTCTCCACGACTGACTCTCCTCCCCTCTCCCCCGAGAATTTTAGAAATATTTTTCCCACAATACAAATTAATTTTCTACCAAATATCTCCATTTCACAAGCAATTATTTGGAAGGAAGAAATCATTCTGGTTTATAGATTTTTTATAGTATTCTTGCAAGGTTTTCTCAAAAGCTTAAGGCCAGCTGTTCCAGAACCCTGCCTACTTCCAGGGGGTTGTGGTTTTTCACTACTGAATATATCTGTATTACATGACACCATCAACACGCACTTCTTCAGCTGGAAGGCTCCTTCATCCTCCCTCCCTAAGGTATTTTGTTATCTGTGGTACTGGACCTGACTAAATGCTCTTCACAGATGGGCTGTCATTGCTGAGCTGCACCAGCACCGAGGCCTTTTCTGTTTCTCACTCTGCTGTCACAGTGAACAGACCGGGGGTGCCAAGTGGGGGAGCAGGTGACACCACTGAAGCAAGGACAGCTGTACTCCATGCTGTGCAACATCGTGATCCCGGGCAGAGAGGGAAACCAACCACCTTTTTCTTGGGAACTGGCATACCCCGGGGGAGTGGACAGCGACTGCCTCAGCACTTCTGCTTTCCTTCTCTCATTTTTATTCTGTACCTCGACCTACGAGTTTCCTCGCTTTTCCTTTTCCGTTTCCCCCCACACTGGGCATGGGGCAGAAGCGAGCAAGCGGCGTAGTGAACAGGCTGCCCAGAGAGGTGATGGAGTCTCCCTGTTGCTCAGGACCCGTCTGGAAGCAGTCCCGGGCCGTGTGCTCTAGGCTGACCCTGCTTGAGCCGGGATTTTGGCCCCGACGAGCACGGTGGCGCCTCCCAGCTCTGGCCACCCCAGGACTGCGGGCAGCCCGCCGGGGTCCCGGTGCAGGGGCCCGCCCCGCCGGCACGTGCGGGAGGCGCTCGCGCCGCCCCGCGCGCCTATAACGGTACCGCCGCTCCGGGGAGGCTCGGCCGCTGCTCCGCGGCCGCCGCCGCTCGCCCCTCGGGACCCGCGGTGTCCCCCTCCCCTCCCTGCTTCCGGCAGCGGAGGGGGCGGGCTGCGGCCCCTCGGCGCGGGCAGACGCGGGGGGAAGGAAAGGAGGGACCGCGGCGGCGGCGGGCGGCGGCCGCGGTGCATTGTGGGCAGCCCGTTGTTCATTTGCCACCCGACCCGATCCGGGGCCTGTCGGGACGGAAGCGCCGCCGCCGCCGAGCGATCGAGCGGGATCCATTGTGGGCAGCCCCGCGCCCGCCGCGATCCAGGCCGGACCCGGGGGAGCGGGGAGCGAACGGCCGGACTTCGCTTCTCTCGGCCGCCGCCCCCGCACGGCAGCCGGGCGCCTCCTTCCCCCGCCCCGTTCCCGCGGCGGACGGAGCGCTCGGCCGGGCGGGGGGCGCGGGGCGCGCCCGCCATGTTCGCGGAGATAAACCGGCGGACGCTCGCGTTCCGCGGCGGCGGCGGCCTCGTCACCTCCGCGGCGGCCGCCTCGGCGGCGGGGGCCGAGGCCTGGGAGCGGCAGGACCCCGAGGCGCTGAACGGGCGCGGGGCGGACGAGGAGGCGGAGCTGGAGGGGCTGGAGGCCGAGGAGCTGGAGGCCACCGCCGCCGAGGAGAAGGAGCTGCTGCTGCCCCAGGACGCGGCGTCGCCCCCCGCCGCCGCCGGCCCCATGTTCGCCGAGAGGAACCGCCGGACTCTGGCCTTCCGCGGCGGCGGGGGGCTTCTGGCCGCCCACCCCGCCGCCAACAATGGCTGCGAGGCCGCGGCCTGGCCGCGGAAGCACTTCAATGGGCGGGGGGCGGACGAGGAGATGGAGCTGGAGGGCGCGGAGGGACTGGAGACGGAGGGGCTGCTGGAGGGCAAGGAGCTGGTCCAGGACGGGGGTTCGCTGAGTGACAGCAGCGACGACGAGGAGGACGGCGAAGGGGGCAGCCTGGGCGACGGCAGCGGCGCCGAGGGCGGCAGCTGCAGCAGCAGCCGGCGGTCGGGGGGCGACGGCGGGGACGAGGCGGAGGGCAGCGGCGAGGGGGAGAGCATCCGGCACTTCCCGCTGGCCAGGCCCAAGTCCCTGCTGCAGAAGCTGCACATCTCCTTCCAGGGCTCCTGGCTCAAGGAGTTCCCGTGGCTCTACTACTGCCAGGAGACCGGCCTCATGTCGTGCGCCTGGTGCACCGCGGCCGTCGCCGCGGCTGCGCCCCCCGAGGTGATCATGTCCGGCGCGCCCCTGCCCGGGGGCCACGACGAGCTCTGCAAGGGCACCCGCAACTACAAGCGCGCCCTGCTCCTGCGGCACCACCTCTCCGCCGAGCATCGCCTCAACGAGCCCGGCAGCGCCGAGCAGGTACGGCACGGGACGGGGAGGGGGCGGCGGGGAGGGAGGGAGGGAGGGGCAATGCCGGCCTCCCCTTTGCATAGGTGAGGTTTTCCTGTGCTCACGTGTGTGAACTTCTTTAAATGGCTGCTCGTGGTTGTCGCTGCCCGGCGGGCTGGCCACACCGCGCTGCTCTCGCTCGCCGCGTCCGGAGCGGGAGACGAGCCCCCTGTGGGACTCGGGGTGACTCTCCCGCTGGGTGTGGGCAGGCACGCAGACACAGCACGAGCTGTTGTTTGTGGCTCTATTCCGTTCCCGTTATCCCTCCGGCCCTGGCGGGTGCCGCTTCCATTAGTTCATCTGTTTATCTCGTGGAGATAAACCGGCGATGTGGGAAAAAAGTTGCGTACGACTCCCAGTGTCACAGCACTGATTTAAATACGCTCGTTACAACTTCCTCCTGCGGTGCAGGCGGAGGGAGGGCAGTGTCCGGCCGGAGACCGCTTGTGAAATGGGGGCTCGGCGGCGTGAAACTGGAATCGCTCTGCCGTGCTTAGCGGCGTGGCCCCGGTGCACTAATCGGATAACTCCGTGTATTTAAGTTCTTCGCGCTGAAATCTTTTTCTTTCCCGATTGCGTTGCCTTAGATTGAGTTGCTGAGCAAGAAGTCTGCAATCGCTTGGTGTGTGTTTGAGATAAACATGTGGTTTCCTGAAAGCCGTGTTACTATGCCAGCGCTCCTCTAACGCTGTAGGAGTAGTGAAACTCTCCACGTTCCCCGCTGAACTTCAAATCACTGTGTTTCTTGGCTGCTTTCACGAATGAGACAGGGCTTGCCCTAGAATATATGTAGATGAAAAGACCCTAAAGAACACTTGTGTTGAATCCTCAGCCTTCTGCAGCCTTTTCTCCTAGGGATGCCTCCGCTGCTGAAGTTCTCTCGATTGCTTCACTGGCGTTAAACTTGCCTGCGGGCATTAGCTAAGTGTTGCTTCAGGTTAGGCTAGTCCTTGAATTGTTAGGCTGTTAGCCGGAATTAATTGATTAGTCACTCAGTTTTTCTGCATTTATAATTCAGTTTTAATTAAAACGCCCACCTTGGCTGGGTAGCTTTATTTGGAGTCTGAAATGTAATGCGGTACTTAAATTGAGGTTATTGCTTGAGCACTCTTAAGGAGCTCAGGGTACCTTGGACAAGAGCTGCTACTCAAATGTTAGGGCAGGATATCAGGATTACAGGATGACTTATAAAACATTAGGTGAACGATAGTTTTCTTAGAACTACTTGGAAAATGTATGCCAAATTTTTGTGAAGATGTTGCAGGATTGCAAGGGAAACCTTATGGTGTACAAATACCAGTGATCCAAAATATTTTTCGATTTACAAGTGCAACATTCACCTTCAAGATGATTAATACTGTCTTTTCAGTGAGTGTAGTTTTATAGCAGCTACTGTTACAGATATTATTTGGTAGTAGGTCATCTTATCAGTTTTCATTAGTCTTCTGGGGTTTGCTATTCACTCTGCAGTGTTTTAGCCAAACTTGCTTTCAATTAGTTGTTTCTAATTAAGAGACTTATCTTAGTTTCTTTTACTTCTTCATATCTTTGAAAGTGTTCCAGTTTTGCATAATGCTGTTGCAGCGTGTTCCTTACAGTCTTGTTGCCTAGTTTCTAACTTTGGGTTGTGAATAATTACTCTGTAGAAGTATGTTCTGTTGCTTTGTAGCCTCCTGTGTTAGTGGATGCTGCTAATCCGTGCCACACTTGGAAGCTTCTCTTGCTCTGTTTTAACTGTATTTAAATAAAAGCTATTCCAAGCATTTTTTCTCTATTCAGATAACTATTCTTTTTCTTTCTGTCCTCTTACCCTGAGTCTGTTGTAAAACTGTTAAATACTGGGAGAGTGGAAGGGAGGACAGAATATTGGCTTGTTATCACAGTAGCCTACAAGTTAATGTAAGTATGTATTTAAAGATTGTAAGTGTTTATTTGAAGACCTTTCATTGCCATGGGAATATTTGTAAAAATGAATCTCTGCTTTTATACCACTGATAGTTTAAGAAAAAATATTTGTACTAACTGTGATAATAAATGAAACAGTAGGATAGATGAGTCAGTGGTTCTCTGCACTGTACAAAAGATAGGGTTGGGACAAAGGTAGCTGTAAAGAGATTTTTTTTGAGTGGAAAACAGTGCTTTGTGCATCCTTCTGCAATTACATTTCAGTTAAAAACTTCTCACGAGGGAAGGAATTGCAGTTTTTCAGGAGTCAGTGTAGTTTTCTTTGTGGAGCACTTTCACGTTACAGTTGCTTTATCAAAAACCTGATTAAGAATCTGTTTTCTTTCCCATCTATGTTTAATTTCCGTATCCTTTCATACTCTTAATGGCACTTGAATTTCTTTTGATACATATGTTTAAATTAATAGCAAAACAATAGCCCCATTTTTTTCCCTAAATGCCATGATACCAGATACTTGGAACAAAAGTAGGTAATTTGTACCCTGACCGTATTGCCAACATACATAATGAGGCAGCAAAGCCGTTTAGATTTAATGAAACTTGGGAGAGATCTTTCAGCCTTTGTGTTAGAGACAGCACACATGTATTATGGACTTGACAAGCCTCCACTGCAGGGCATGTTTAGCAGCTGCTAATAAACATATGGCATAGTGCCACCACTCAAGCTCAGAAATTGTAGGTGTTAAGACAGTAAAGCAGTAGAAATTTCTATAGGTCTGTTGGCTATTACACTCGTGAAGAAATGAGTGATAATTTCAGTTTATTTTTGGGATACATTTAATTTGGAATGCCAAAATACATCACAAGTGGCTGCAGCTGCTGTAATTCAAGGGTATTGAGCTGTCAACCGATGCTTCTTTCTAAGACCAAATTCTTGAGTCTTTTTCTATTCTAGTTTCTAAAATATTTTTTCTCCTCATTAAAGCTTAAGGAAATCTATCATCATCTTGAAACTACCTTTGTTTTTGTAGTGAAGAGACTATTGTGTTGCAAGGATCTCAAGAAATGGATGCTTAGTGGGAAATCATGGCAAAATATTTTAATTCTTTGATGAATTTGGGTCCATAAGATGCAGATTTATTGGCTGCTAGGGATTCCTCTCCTCAAACTCCTGCATCTTCTTAAAACATTTTCTTTCTGGACATAATTTAAAGCTAAGCTTTGGAAATACTGCCAGAAAAGCTTTCTCCAGTCTAACAGGCATGTTGGTTTAAAGCAGAAGCTCTCCAAAAGTAGGAAGGCCTTTGATGTGTTATTTTTTCCATGTGAACTGGAATTGTTTGCATTATGTGAGCAGTGATGAATGGAAGTCATGCTTCAGATGTCAGCGTTACATTACAGTGTTCTAAGTTAACTTCTTGACTTACTCTTAGCAGAGTGAAGAAGTTGAGGAGGAAGTCAGGCCTTAGAGTAAACACTATCGCTTAGTGTATTTTCATGTAGTGTTTTTATCAATCCTCAAACTACTCAATTTGATACTAGGGAATTAATGAAATTATTTGAAATTGCTGAGTTTTGTGTACAGCACAGAGTGGAGCATCATGTGCAGCTGATGGGACCATATTGAGATAATTTTCCTCTGCACGTGGTTAAAAAGCTTACTTTTTTAGAAGATACATTTTCGAGAGTAAGGATTAATTTGGGGACACAGGGAACTGTGGTAGAGCAAGATGTGGTAGTGGGGAAGGGATTAAAAAATGTGGAATAATTACTTTTCGTATACATGCAGCTGAGATGGAATCTCTGGTTAGGTTGGTTTGAATTAAGAATTTTTTCTTAATTCTTCCTGCTCTCACTGTCTTCCTTCCAGGGACAGAATATGCTGATGGAACAGTAGGAGAAAAAACTAAACTCCTAGTAGCAATTTTTGATCATCTGTTTCTGCTCCTGTTAGCTTTTGGGCAAGTTTAATTAATGAATTATACATATAAAATAATAATTTGTCTTTGTGTGTATTCTATTGAAACTGAGCACAATATTAGTTTCCTTAAGAAGTCTCTGTTCTGTTGCAGCACTTCTTAATCTCACCCACAGAGAGAAGCTTTTGACTTAGAGCACTGAAGGTTCCATAAATTGAAATGAAATTGTGCTGATCTTTATCTTTTATTCCTTACTAGTGTTTAATAAAGGATGAGGTGGTTTGGTGTTGGGATAACTTAGTTGATGAGAATATGGGGTCTGTATTCTGAAAATATAGTTGACATCTAAGCAAATATCATTAGGCTGTTGTTCTCATGAGGAAAACAACCCTTATGATGATGTGTCATGTAAGTTACAAAAGTCTGCAAATGCATCTTTTCCTGTAATTATTTTCTGCATCTTCCCTCCTGTTGAACTGTATTGTATTTTTTCTGTATGAATGTCTAAATCTCTCCAAGTAATATTATTTTGTTCATTTTTCTCATAATAAATATCAGTTTACTTGTCATACTTGGTGTACGTAGACTTGATCTGCTCAGACATCAGGACTTCATTTGAGTTGTGGCACTAGGGTTAACTGTTGTACTATACCAGCAGTAAAACAGTTGGTTTTAGTACTGCAGTTAGTTTTAGAAATGTATATGCACCCACTTCTGTAAAGCTATAATACTAATTAAAGCTGTAATACTGATTGATCTCTTTCTCCAACACATACCCCTAATAGCTTGGACACAGGTTGCATAATATCTGATTTTTCCACTCAACCTTCTGGTCTTGTCATAATGAAGATTTCAGTCTTGTTTTTCTGTAGCACATTTGTGATCTGCAGCTCCTCTTCACCATGCTGGCTTGTCCTGTTCTCAGGAAACAAAAACCCCATATTGTAAATATAAATTTATTTTTTTGTCCCAGCTTGATTGGGTACATATACTTGCTTAGTTAAAATGTATTCTCTCTCAATTATTTAATCAGACGTTTGTCAGAAGAAAAGAACTGCTGCAGGTCGTTTTTTAAATTTTATGCGGTGTTTAATGTGTTCTCAGAGAACGAAATTGGCAGCTATCACAGCATCTACCTAACATTTACTGTGTGAGGTGCAAGTCACTGGTGATTGACGAGCGTGACAACACTTCAGGGTGCTGTCATTTTCATCTTAATCTGATCCAGTGTCAGTGTAATTGGTGTTTTGAAACTGTGCAGTGCACCATTGCTAAAGTGACAGGAAGCTAGTCCAGAACCAAAATCTGCTGAGAGCTTAGCATGACAGCCTTAGCTGTCCCACATCTGGAGCAAACTGTTTCACAGTCTTGATCTGAGGTAGTACTTGGGGTGTGTCATAAAGTACACAAAAAAATTAAGATGAGGTGAGCAAAGATGTACTGCTTGTTTTCGCATAAAAGGCTAATTGCTTTTATTCCTTCCTCTTCAATGAAGTGTTTTTCTGAGAAGAGTAGAGATTCAGAAGCAACTTGAATGTGACAGCAAACTGAAATTTCTCTGCAGGAGATGCTGAAATGGCACAGTGTCTGTTTTGGTTATACCAGGTCTTATTTGCTGCTTATATATGTAAACACTGGTTTAGATGTAGTTACAGCCTCAGTTGTCATTCCAGTGATCCACACTGGGATTATAAATTGAGATGAGTACTGATGTAATCCACTAAGGTCTGTGGGGTGGAAAGTGACTTTTAAAATATATGTAGCTGGTTTCTGCAGTAGTCCCAAATTAAGAGTAGTACTTTCCTGCAACATGTATTTTAGCTGCAGCATAGCTTATGGGCTAATGACAGTGCTAACATTACCTTCTTAATACTGATTTTGACCTGTAATATTGAGGCAGGTGAGCTTTAACACCACTTCCAGTTCCCTGATCAGTGAGGTATTTTAGGAGATGAGAGAGGAAAATAATGATTTGGCTTGGAGCTGTCCAGTTTTGGGCTTTCCTCATTTGCTAGGAAAGAAGATTGACAGTCTGTTTCATACTAGATCTCCAAGATTCTATGTTGCTGCTCTTGATGGCAGCATATGTCAACCCATATAAGTATGGTCTCAAATATGCCAGTCTGTTTTCTGCTTTCTACTAGCTAGTACTATCTCTGAATCATCTTTATCTAAACATGAATTAAAAGTCTTCTGTGTGCTCAAAAATCCAGTACAGATATTTTGATCTCTCCCTGTCTGAACTAATCTTTAATAATGAATAATTGGTGTTGGATTTTCTGAAAATATCAGGTTTTAGCAAAATTTTGGAGCTGTGTTTGAGATCACATCTTAAAAAGGCTGTGTGTGTGTAATAAGTGTTGTGCCAGCGTTGCCACTGGAAAGTTTGGGAGACTTATTTGAAGAAAGTCTGAGGCAAGAATTGTAGTGGAAGCTTAAGTTGGGAGTTTTTTTGTCATCTGCAGTGTTTTGTCTGCTTGTCATGTGATACACTGTTTAATCCTAAAACCGCTGCAGTTAAAAAGCAAAGGATAAATACTTAATTTGTAAAACTGTATAAGAAATACATTTGCCATTATATCTATTTAGCAATATATTTTCTTTAAAACATTCAGGACAGATTGGGACATACAGACCTAATTTGTGTCTATTTGTATCTTAGCATGAAGAAAATGTTGAATCACTTATCTGGATTCTGCTTAATTGTTTAAGTGGAGATTTCTGGGGAAGTACGAGGGATTGGATATGTGAGAACCATCTAGTTAAATCTTTGGAAAGAGAGGCTCCTGAATCTTTAATATATGTGGGTTAGGAATAACAAGTACTTCACGCTCAACTATATATTTCCTTACTTTTGGCTGAAATTTCCCTTCCTTTGCCCTAGAGGCAAATCTAGTTCTGTTTGTTTTAAACTTGGGGGTGGAAGGTGCAGAATGAGAGCAGGATTTTTAGTTTTCAAAAATGTCTTGTTATTTATATATTCCTGTCTGCCTTTGTGACAAAGAACATAAATAACAAAAAATAGTTTAAGATAATCTTCTTTAGTTTATTTTCATATCCTTATTACTGTGTTGGAGAACTAAGGAGAGCATTTATTAAGAGCTAATTATGTTTGTGCGGTTTTTTAATTGCAGGAGGCAGAGTTACCATCAGAACTGAATAATGAAGGATACTGTGATTTTAACAGCAGGCCAAATGAGAACTCTTACTGCTATCAGCTCCTGCAAGAGCTCAACGAGCAGAGGAAGAAAGGCATTCTTTGTGATGTTAATATTGTGGTGAGTGGGAGGGTCTTCAGAGCTCACAAGAACATCCTGGTTGCAGGCAGCCGCTTCTTTAAGACTCTGTATTGCTTTACAAACAAAGAAAGCCGTAACCAAACCACTGTTACCTATTTAGACGTTGTTGCTGTTCAAGGTTTTTCTGTCATCTTGGACTTCTTGTATTCTGGTAACCTCGTGCTCACGAGCCAAAACGCCATTGAAGTGATGTCAGTGGCCAGCTACCTTCAGATGACGGAGGTTGTCCAGTCCTGCCGCAACTTCATTAAAGATGCCTTAAACATAAGTATAAAATCGGAAGCTCCAGAGACTGTTGTAGTGGATTACAACAGAAGATCTGTTAGTAGGGATGGTTTATCTCCAAGGGATCAAAAAGTTGCCAGCTTCTGGGCAACACGAAACCTTACCAACTTGGCAAGTAGCATAAAAACTGAGAATGATCCGTACCCCATTGATGAGGGCCAAATGGAAAGCTACCAAATGAATGACTGCAGTTGGGTCCAGGACAGCTCACCTGAAATGGCTGAAAATGAATCTCAAGGTGAGGGAAAAGTTTTCGTGTGGAATGACATGGGTGCACAGGGACAATCAGTTCCAGAACCTGGAAAAGCAAGAAGGAAAAACCAAACTGCAAAGAGATTTATTTATAATATACCACCTAATACTGAAGAGAATTCTGAAGATTGCTCAGTGTTGCAACCGTCAGTCCCATATCCAGAAGAAGATTTGTCCTTTATTAAAGAAGAAGCAGGTAAATATTGCTTAATGTCAATTATGTCATTTGAAAATTAAAGTACTGACTGCAGTATCTGACTACATAACTTTTGCTTTTTTATTTTTTAAATTATTATGCTGTATGAATAGTTAATCTATGTATTTGAAGTACTGTCATTTGCCTGCCTCACTTTTTGATGAATTAATAGTTTTGAAAACTTAGTACAATTTAGGAGCAAGTTAGGGGTGAATTTGAGACACAACTGGAACAAAGTTCTTTAGATGTCTGTTGTTTCTAAAGCAGTTTAAAATGTATGCCTGCTTCAATTATCAAGGAGCAGTGGATGTCTCCTCCAGGGGCCCTGATCTGCTCCTGCCCCCGGGGCTGGGTGACACAGACAAGCGGTAGTCCCGCAGGGGGCACATGGGGACCCACGGTTGTTCTGTGTGGTGCCAGCAGTGCTTGGGTACTGTGGTGACATGTGCCAGTGCAGAGCAGTGTGGGATGGGACTGGGGATGTGTTTCTCCAGTACAGGAGACCTTCATGTGCTTAGTGAGTAGTGTGACACAACAGAGCAGCTCTGGAGAAGCAGCTGTGCTGAGGAGCACTTCTGCAAATGCTTGTTCCTTATCTCTGGTCTTCATCTCTGAGCTCTGGGTATGTCTGCTTTAGCTTTGCTTGGGAGTTGTGCTTGTGAAGTGAATTTCCTGTACTTCTCTTACTGGCTAAGCTTTGTTAAACTGCACAGGATTCCTTCTGGCTGAGCTGGCATGTTTCAGGAACATGACAGTTGCTAGTATGCCTCAGATTCACAGCATCAGGTTAGATCTAGCCTAAGTGAAGCACCCTTAGCTGCAGATAGTGGGGGATGTTGAGTCCTCAGCACCCACACAACAGTTCTGCCTGTGCTGGGCTATACTGCTTGTCCTAGTTGCAGTGCCACGAAAAAGGACAGCAGAGGGTCTGAAGCAGGAGCTGAGGATGTGTGTATTTGTGTCAGACAAAATCTCTGACACAATTTAGCATGTGATTTCTATTGATGATTTATAGGGGTTAAATATTCAGTGTTTTTTACTGATGGAAATACAGAGAATATGCCTTCTGTATGATGGCATCAACAACAGATATAGATAGTTTGGATTCTGTGGGATTTTGTATGTGTGCTGTGAAGATTTCTTAGAGCAATAATGGAGGGCACAGGCAGAGCAATATGTTTAGTCCTATGTGTGCTGTGAAGATTTCTTAGAGCAATAATGGAGGGCACAGGCAGAGCTATATGTTTAGTCCTTGGTTTTTTGGTGGTTTTTTTTGTTGTTTTTGGTGTGGGGGGTTTTGTTTGTTTGTTTGGTGTTTTTTATTGGTTGGTGGGTGGGTTTTTTTGACAGAAGCACCAATGTTTCCAGTAAATTGTTATGCTGAAGAATTAAATTACAGGAGACATCCTTGTAGCATTTTGATGAAAAATTGTATTGGAGACAAAGCATACTGAATATGGTTGTGGTATCGGTCCAAAACCATTGAAAGTTCTGTGACTACAAGGGGAAGTTTATTTTACTGAGTTCTAAAATACTAGTCAACTAGTGATCTCCTTGGTATTTTCAGAGCACACCATATATGTTCCTAAGTACATAATTACATTTTCTGTCAGTGTCAGAATTCTTTTGGAAGCCATATCTAATATCTTTGTAATAATATCTTCACTTTTACTAAGTTCTTGAATGCATATTGTTTGAAACAAGAAGAGTGACTGAAGTAGGGCTTAGTCTAACTTACTTTACACCCATAGTCTGTTCTTCAGCTTTTGGTATTCTTTCTCTTCTACTTGTGGCTCTTTTTCTTTCCTTTGTAGGTAGATTCCACTCTTAAACACTCTTCTTTTAACTGCTCCCTCTATGCCAAAGAAAAGGTGGAAGAGGGAGGAGTGGAGAGTTGGAAGAATGTCAAGAATGAGTTGTAGAGTAACCTGCAGGTTATACAATAACTTGTAGTTTTGGATTAAATTTCTTGTGGGGATGGAAAAGCTACCAAAAATAATAGGCACTGAGAGGTAAAAATCTATAAGAAAATGTCATCTAGAATAGATAAAAGATAATTCTAGAAGAAGAAAAATAAAGAGTAGTAAATTCTTATATTAAGAACTAAGGAATGCACTCTCCTGTTGGTTGCTAAAATGGAAACAAGGAGCTTCTACTGTTATGCTTTGTCATGTTCTGATGAGGATAACACCAGTGGTTATGAACTGTCAGTTACGTGCAGGGTGAGTTTCTGTGCCCCTGATTTAGGTTTGGGTTGGTCTGGTGCTTTTGTGATGATACTGTAGATATGGTGGAAGAGAAGCCTACTTAAGATCACTGCTCTCACTACAAAAATTTATCCCTGAAGCCACTTCCTTGAATTCTATAGTAAATGAATTTTCCAGTTGGGTACAGTTGGTAAGTATTAGATAATAAACAGTAAAAGCTTTCTGAAGCATCTGCTACCCCTCTTGTTGCAGTAAAGCAAATATGTTAAACTGCTGCTTGCTGAACATGAGTTTTTCTGCTTGTATCCAATAAGGATATGTCAGCTGCTTCTTCCTCCCACCCTGTTTCTGATTCATTTCTGATGCCTTGTGAAGGCTGGCCTAGAATAGAGGCTAGATGGAGATAAAGAATAAAGTAGGTATTTATTAAAAGCCTCTATGGATCTACCTTGGGCAGCACAAGAACCCAGCCAGGGCTACACCCAAGGTGAATCCAAAATGGTCACAAAATGGATGACTGCAGTCTCGCAGTTTTATAAGTTTTGGTCCATTTGCATATTGGAGTTAATTTTCCAATTGTACCTTTAGCTTATGAAGTCCTGTCCTTCTTGTTTTCCCTCTTCATTCCACTGTTGTTTATGCTGTTGGGCCTGAAACTTAGATCATTTGTCCTTGGTCCCCAGCGAGAGAAGGAATTGTTTTGTCTACTTACTGTGAAGAGAGCTTACTATCCCCTAATATGAAGCTCAGAACTACACACTAAAGCAGTACAGAATCTGAAAAATATAAAAGCTAAAACCTGAGGCATTATTGCCAGTGAGTTTATTTAACACCCTCCCTGTAAAAGTAGCATGTTGGTGAGCTTTAAAGGAGCTTTAAAAAGGTTAAGATGGATTTGAAATTCCTTGTACTGTCTTACATTTACTTATATTTTACTTAAGTTTTCAAGACTTTTCCAGTTTTAGCTATATTAATTAAAGCAGCTGTTTAACTAAAACATGGAATGTTACCACCAATATCAGTATTTTCTCCTAGTTGATAATCTGCTAAAAAAGTCTTTTACTGTTTACAGCCATCATTCATCGTACAATTAACCATTTACCATAGTGAAAATAACCATGCAGACAGCACATTACAGTCACTGTTACAGTGTCACAAAAGGTCATAAAACCCCAGTGAACATAATTCATCATATGCTTAATGTCTGTTCATGGGGTGATTTTTGTCAATTTTCATCACTTCTTTGGTCTGTCTTTTATCTTTATCTGGCCGTGGTGTTTGTTTTTTTTTTTTTTTTTTTTAAAGTGTCCTATCCTCAGACTTCAGAACACAGCTATGAAGTATTGCTTATGCTTTTTGGAACTGACTGTTGATTTTTAGGAGACTTGCATGCAATATCCCAGTAGCTTTATGAAGCTACAAGTGTATAATTTGTTACTGTGATTTTTCAGGCTATATAATGCTGTACTCTGGTGGGGGTGAGGGAAAGAATAACAAGTGCAGGATTAAAACAGTCCTTGGTGGAACAACAAGGTTCCTGACTGATTTTGTAGGGGTTCTTAAAGAATTTAATTCAGTTTAATGTAGAAACAACTACTTTTCAGAAGGATACAGACAGCAGCTAAACCTGCTTAAAAAAATGCAGTGCTGGTCCCAGCTTTTGTCATGATGCGAGGGAGGAGCATAACACAACTTGATTAGGGCTTTACAATAAAGCAGGTATCTTTGTATTTGAAGAAATCAAGATTGATGGACTTATCAGGACAAATGTATATTTCTTGTAGGGATAAACCCCACTTGGCTGACTGTGTTACAAAAGAAAAAAATTGTGATTTTTTTTTTCCTACTTCTCCATGGTACTATAACTCTGTCTTATTTTCTTTAGACTTTAAGCTGTTACCCTGATTAAAAGATGTAAATTCCTTGATGGACGTCTAACCACTTTATTTGCCCCCTTCCCTATGTAATCCATTATTGAAGTTGTCAAAAGTTTTTAGAAGTCATCTGAAAACACTGCAGTCTGAGGGTCAGCCTCTTCCCCATTCATTCAATTTACCTCTCCCAGGGATCATCCCAAAGACAAGCAGGTTCCCTCCTCACATTCTCACAATATGGTCTGTCCCTAAGCCTACAACTCTGGTCAGTGTTTTGTGTATTACTGGTGTCAATATGCAGGTTTTTGTTAGTTTGGTTTTTTGTGGTTTTTTGTTTGTTTGTTTGTTTTTTGGGTTTGTTTTGTTTATTTGGGTTTTTTTGTTTGTCTGGTTTTTTTGGGGTATTTCAATATGGTCTGTCCCTAAGCCTACAACTCTGGTCAGTGTTTTGTGTATTACTGGTGTCAATATGCAGGTTTTTGTTGGTTTGGGGTGGTTTTTTTTGTTTGTTTTGGGTTTTTTTGGGTTTTTTTGTTTGTCTGGGTTTTTTTGGGGTATTTTTTGGGGGGGGGGGGCAATGTGAATGGGTTGTGGAAGAAGGTTTTGTGGTGTCTACAGATCTTCTCTGCCTGAAAATCACTTTGACTCACAGTGTAATGCATTGACTTACTAACAAGGGTCCATGAGAACAATTAATTTCCCCACAAATAAACGGTCTGCATGAGGAAAGTTCCTTACTTTCTTGTGTTTCACTGGTATAGTTGTTGGAGGAGATCAGCAAAATAGCTTTCACTTTCTTGGGAAAGAATTTTTCAGGGAAGGCGTGATAATCAAGTTGAAAAGCAAGTGCATAATATAGCTGGCATGAGTTAGTGGTCTTCTGTCAGGGGTAGTTGATGCTAGATCTGGCTCCATAATCATGGCAATATACCACTTCTTCATGAATGAAAAATAGTAAAAATTGAGAGCACTTTGTAGCAATAGATAGAGTATGAATAAGATTGCATTGGCAAAATGTCTTAAGTATGTCTGAGCCCTCTGAGGCAGTTGAGCAGTAATGTGTTTCCAGAATAAGCCTTTTCAGCTGAAGCAAGGTTAAAGATGTGAGGAATACTCTGGGAACAAAGGGAGCTCAAGATACTTTCTTTTCCCCACCTTCCTAGTGTGTCAGTCTTGGCAGTGCTGTTTCCTCTGTCATGTTACCTAACATAAGCAACAAATCCAACTCTCTAATAGCAATCCAGATTGTATCAGTAGATTACCACTGCTTTCTTTGCAATCCTTGAAAGCTATGGCCTAATCGCTTATCCAGTCTACTTTCTGTCTTTTTTAATTGATTAGATGAGCAGTCAGTGTAAAAAATATAGTGAAAAATAGCATTTATTTTTCTCTTATTTTGGCACTGTTTCCAGTGCTAATATATGTAAAGAAAACAGCAGTTAAGTTCACTACAAACAGCTGTATCTAATGCAAAATTTTGTATCTTTTCCCTCAGTGCACCATATGTGTGTCCTTTTCTGCAATGCCCTGTTTAATGGCTTCTGTCACTGAACTTCTCATTATTTCCTATATCGTCACTTACTCAGTAATGTATCCTTTTCTGGGCCCCAAATCAGTATATTTTCTGATATAAATCAGCAAGAGTTAAATTTGTCAGACTAAGGATGCTTCTGGCTTAGACATGTTCTCTCTTTCTGGTGGTGCATGCCTGCCTCTTGCCTTCAAAACTGAAAATCATTGTATCTGTCTTTTGGTTAGCCTTTTTTCCTGAGAACAAATGCAATAAAACATAAAATCCTTTCACCGTGTTTTTAATAGCTTTTTTTAATGGTGTAAAAGCCACACAATAATTTAATTTTATTTCCCACTGTCCTTTTCTCTTCTTAAATCAACATAGTGTGAATTTTAGTGCTGATGGTTAATCAGCTTCTTTGTGTTCTGGGATTTTTTTTATTATTTTGGCTTTGCTTGTTGTTGGCTTTTATTAAAGATCAGATTACTGATAGCCTTTTATCCATGCAGGCTAGATGAACGAGTGAATGTTTGAGGTTAATTGACATTTGGGTTATTAACTTACAACTCTTAGAAATCAACTAAAGTGTAAAAGGGTAACTTTAGATCAGAGAAAACTTGTGATCAGGTGGTTTAGTCTGGAGACAAAGAATATTATTGCTTCTAATTAGCTTTTTTTTCCCTCAAAGATCTGCCTTACCTGTCTATGCTTTCCTCCTGTGCACCCTCTCCCCAGTATACCAGTATGACTGCATCCATAGTTGCATTCAGCCTCCTATCAAGAGGCTATCATGTGGCTTTAAATGGACCAGAACAGGCCAGATGATAATTGTAAGCAGGTTTCAGGGGCAGTAGCCTGGCTGAGAGGAGAAATGGGAGAAGATCCTATGAGCCACAGGGGTCTGTAAATGTGTTGCATTCTGGAAGCTTACCTGACTGTAGGCTCTATATCCAGCTGGGGAAGGTAGTACAGGCTGGGTATTGCACTTCCAGCTTCCAGTCTGTGTGTAATTCAAATCTGTCTTGTTTGGATGAGCAAGTAGACACTAAAGATGCCTTTTGCATGGTTTTGTTTTGAACACATTAAATGTGTGCTTAATCTAGAAAGCATGTTTTCTAGGTCAACGAATTATTCTAAGAATAAGCATTAGGTTTAATTATTATCTACTTAGTCATGTATACTGAAGCATGAAGCATGTGTAGCAACCTCTTATCTCTTGTGGTATCTGTGCTGGTGTTCTTTCATGTTATAGTGGGTCTTCTCTTCCAGTGGGAGATTGAAAGATTTAGTAGCTACTACCTACACTGGGTGACAGCTCTTAAATTTATTTGGCTCTATGCTGAGTCTTGTGCTAAGATCTCGAGTTGTGCAGGGGTTTGTGCTCCTAAGTTCCCTCAAACTTAAATAGCAGCTGTGTACATAAATGTTCCTAGTGACATTTAGATTGTGTTCTCTTAAATACAGAAGAATTGTCAAAGTGACAGTGTTATAAAATGTACTCAGCTTGGTCCAACTCTTACCTATGGTCAGTCTTTGGCTTATTCTGAAGGAAGCTATACAATAGTGCCTGTACACAGCATAATGTTACATCTGTGTGCAGTGAAGACTTGGGTCTCTTGATCTTGCAGATATTCATCCTATAAGGGAAGGAAAAGTGATTAAAATATTTTATTACTGACTGACCTTTCACTGTTCAGCTACAGTTCTAGTACAGGGAGAAAAATCTGTAAAGAAAGGATCTAATACTTTAAACATTATAAAAGTAAGTTTGTTTTTTCCCCTCTGCTAGATCCTGAAGCCTGCTGTTATTTGGAGGCTTATAGCCTTAAGAGCAAGTCACCTTTGCTCTTACCCAGACTGTGCAACACTGCTTCCTCTCTAATCCTTTCTTGTGTATTACAGAAGGAAGTCTTCCTCCTCACCTCAAAGGAATGTGTAGTTGGCATGTCTATAGGGTATCTGTGTTCTATTCCTTGAGCTGTTGAGATGCCATTGCTGGAGTCCATCACTCCAAATTAGTATAAGGAGTTCTTGCCTATTTTGGACATAACAGAAGTTATGTCAGTAATTAAAGTTAGAGTCAGTAATTAAAAAAAAAAAATCCTCACTGCTTTGTGTTTTTTAAGGGAGAGGGAGGTTTATTCCCTTCCCTCTTCTTCCTTTTATAGCAAAATAAGTAGTTAGATGAGCTAAAATACTGCTATTTTTTGTCTTCATTCACTCAAGCTCTGCTTTTAAAAGCTCTGGTGGAATGGCTAGTTTGGCAGTCATGATGCAGCTTTGCTTGTTGTTTGCCATTGTCTAATGGATGAGATAGAATTATAAGCTTCCTAGTTGTTAAGTGATATCCTTCTGAACTGTTGTCTTATGTTGCAGACCAAATCACTGCTGCCAGTGGTAATGCTGCCTGAGCAGTAAATGAAACTACTGTATGTGTCTCATGCTGTGAGGATTTGTACTCTGTACTTTTTTCCAGTGAAACTGCAAGTTGGAAGTGTTTAAATATGCAGCTTGCCACTAGCTGTGTGAAATTCTGGTTTAGCCCAAGAGAATTTCCTTTCCCAAAAAAAATCCTTAGAATGAACAGTGTAGGGATAAAAAGAGGTCTTTGGACTATTGAAATGTATAGTTTCAGGCTTGAAAGCAAGAATACATCTCCTCAAGACTTTTCACAGTGGTGACATTGGGAATCCAGTGTGGATACCCAACTACCATCCAGAGAAATAAAAGGAAATCTGCCAGTTACCACTGCAGTTTGTTTATTTAACAACTGTCTGCCTGTGAGGAAAGTAATGGATTTTATAAGTTCATGATTTCCAACAAACTCCTGTCTAGGGGTTTGGGGGAAACATTGATTTGCACTATTGCTAGAAGAGCTTTTGCCCAGCAAATATGATTTTGTTAAATTCTTAGTGCAGCTTTATTGTGTACTATTTATAGTTCTCTGTGCTCTGTAATAATGACTCCATGTTCACTGATGCAGTTCTTGTTACAAAGTATGGAATTAAACAAGCAAAGATATTTTTAAGGCATTGTTCACTTCTGAATGGTTCTATTTTTTTCAAGAGGAAAAAAGAGTACGAAGACAACATAAACTGCAGAAGATCTTGTCTTAAGAGCAAATGTAAATATGCAAACTAGTCTTTTAAGCTGTTATATTCCAAGTAGTTATGGTCTCTTGAATTGATGTGGTTATAGAGTAATGGAGATGATTATTCAGAAAAGGATTTAGACATAGCTGGAGGATCCTTTATATAAATAAAGCACTGCATATGTATACCATGAAGATATTTTAAAGCAAAAAAAACCCCATGCCTCTAAGTAGAAAATACTTTTGTACCAACTAGACCACTGTGGCAGTCCAGGTGAAGTCACTGCACAAAGCCGTTCTGAAGAGAAAAGTTTTCTCATGGAAAACCTTTCAGCCCCCTCGTGATGATAGTGAGGGAATACATATCCTTACCATCAAAGTCTCTGTAGTATGAAAAAGGCTTTCAGTTTTTCTCAGGATGGGGAGAAGAAATGGTGCTCTGGACAGTAGTTCAACGGTCTCATTTCATTGAAATTAGGAATACAGTTATTTCTTGGTTTAGTATTGAATACTATGTGACAACATGCTATAATTACTATTGTAAGGTTAGAAACTTTTTGTCACAGTTTAAAAAGGATATACATATTGCTAAACAGATTAGATTGATGACTGATTAGAACCCAGGAAGCTAAAGAAAGAATGTGTCTTTAATAGCTACTTCAAGTGACTTCAAGTACGGACTGTTGCCGGGTACTTCAAATGACTTCAAGTACGGATTGCTGCCGGGTACTTCAAGTGACTTCAAGTATGGGCTGCTACCGGGTACTTCAAGTGATTTCAAGTATGGATTGCTGCCAGAATCTTGGCCAAAAGAAGCTTGGGAAAATGGTAAGTGTATCTGATGGAGAGTAGGTAGAGGTTAGGAAATTATTTAATCAATCTTCTTCCATATCATTTGCCTTTCTGGATAATGTACTTCCTTGGAGGGAGGAAAAGGAATTCAAATGTATGGAAGAGTAAAACCAGAATGTGATTTATATCAGTTCTAGTATAATGGCTGAGTGTGAAGGTACCTGAGGTCTTTAATAACTTGATAGCTGCCTGTCCCCTTACTAAGCTAAATACAGATAAATGGCCTTTGAAATTGAAAACTTGGATGGTGAAGATATGGAAATAAATATAATTTTAAAATGAGATCCCAGCATATGTCTTGCTATTAAAAATAAGAAACTTCATTGCAATAAGTGTTTTTAGTCCCGTGCAGCTGTAATTAAGCCTTTTTCTGTCAGTTCAAGCAAACAGTTACCTGTAATTATTTTTGTTTGAAAACATACTGAAAATACCACCATATCTAAAACAATTGTTGCTAATTCCTTACAATACATAAAGTATTCAGTACAAAGAAGATATCAAGTACTGGGTAATAGTAATGCTTACCTCTTCTCTTTAACTGAGATGTTACTGGGATGTGGCTTATGGTTTATTTTAAATATTTTGGGGTTTATAGTAGAAGAAATGTGGTCATGAGAAGGTGAAGTTTGCTGGCAGTCAAGAAATTAGAAGCTGGGTCTTAGGAAGGCTGCCTGTTCTTAAACCATTAAATTCCTTACAGCCCTGATGTCTGCCTGTATAGGACTTGCTCTTCTTCATGCAAGCCATTATGTGACGTTTTGTGGAGATGCAGCTCACATGAGTGCTGTGATATGCAAACTTGTGAATATTAGCAAAATGTAACTTCCATCTTTGGATGAATTTAAAAGCTCAAAGGAGGCAACTCTAGAGACAGGCCTGTGAGCATGTGCACATAATGTGCAATTACTCATGTTTTCTTCCTGCCAGCATGAAACTCTTGCACATAATCATGTAGCCTTAGCCAGTGCTTTTTGAATGCTTCTAGATGGTTATGATTATGTTCTTAAGTTCTCACTTGTAGTGAGTCAGTATGCTATTATCAAAATCTTGTATTTCTATGTGGCCTTCTCCGCATCATAGAATCCTGTGTTGTTCTTTTTCACACAGTAATAGGCAGCTGCATTAAACCTGTTTTGCATATATCCTTGGGCAAACTGTATAAAGGGTTCTCCTCCATCATAAGGAAGAAGTGAGATAGTGCTACTTCCAGAAGTTTTTTCTGCTCTTTTTATTTTTTGTGCTGTTAGATCAAAGTAGAAAATAAGTAAAATCTGAACCAATAACTTCCTTTTTGAGAATTTCAGAATTTTGCTACCTCTTAGTATCCTACTCCTCTTGTCAATATTCATTCTTTCTTATACTTCTTTTAAAGTCAGATCCTGGTAGACGGTTCCTGCATGTAATTCTAAATAGAATAGAATTCCAGTAGAATATTGGAAGAGAAGATTGCGACTGTCAAAATGCTGCAGAGTTAGAGGGTTTCTAATCCAGAAGAAAATGTTTTCTGGTATAACTGGCATCTAGGAAAATAGAGTATTGGTAAATTGTAGTTAACTAACTTCAATTAATGAAATAAGACTCCTGTGGTAAAATTGCCTTGGTTACAAGTAGGTATTTTTCTAGTAGAATTGTACATGTAGAACTTAGCAGCGTTTTTGATTTCTGCAGACAGACATTGTCCTGATTACCCTGATGAAAAGATGTATTTTGCTTTATTGTTTTGGCACCTGTTAATTTTTGTGCACCAGACCTAATACATTTGGATGATTTTTTGTGTGTTTCATTATCTTTTCTCCTGATGCTTCTTATCTTTTAGGTGATTCCTCTGCTTTAATCATGAACAAGCTGAAGTGTCCACACTGTAATTATGTAGCCAAATACAGAAGAACACTAAAGAGACACTTGCTCATTCACACAGGCGTGAGATCTTTCAGTTGTGACATCTGTGGGAAGCTGTTTACACGAAGAGAGCATGTAAAGAGACATTCCTTGGTGGGTAATCTCAAGTGTTCATGTATATGTATGCACATGTATGAGTGGGGTTTTATGGGGTTTTTGGTAGTTGGAACAAACTGTTCTATGATTTGACATAATGTAAATTGTCTTATCTTGATCTGAAATGGATGAAGATAAACATTTCTTAGATAACTGTGCCTCTTGTTTTCTTAATGGAAAATGCAGTGTCAATGATGACAGTAATTTCAAGATTATTTTGAAAGTGATGTGATAAAGGGATAGAGTGTATATAAGTATTCTGTAGATAATGAAAAGCAGTTTTGGCTTAGCTTTACTGCAGTAGAATAGCACGTCTTGGTCTATAATACTGAATCATCATTTTCTGTGAGGGCGCCCTGTTAATTCAGCAATTGCATAATATCTTGAGGTAGTTCTAAAATGTTTATTTCACAACCAGACAAAGCTATAGTGTAGTATCTGCTTTAAGGTTAGGAAAGAATGAAAAATTTCTGATGCAGAAAGTAAACATCTGTTTGACTTGCATTCTGCCAGTACCATAACCAGCAGTTCAGCTTACCCTGTCCTGTGCACATTGCATAACTCAGGATTTGACTTGAGTACTTGTTTATCTGAGGATCCAGAGAAAGTTTTATCTGCCTTGGGTATTTTGTAGGTACTTCGTATCTTGTCTATAAGGAAATTAAGACTTCATTATAATATATACTATATAAAATCCAGGGTGTATTTTAGTGTAGTAATAAGAGCAAGATCATGTTGGTGGTGAGAAAATAATATTTCTCCAACCTGTGATTTTAAAAATTCCCCTCATTTTGCAAGATGTTTTGTAGATAGAAAAGGTTAGTACATACGTGGAGTGGGGTAAATGGCACTTCTCCAAAGTGCTGCACCTGGGATGGGGCAGCTCTTGGTATCTATATAGGCTGTTGGATGAACATGTCAAGAGCAGTCCTGCTGGGAAGGATTGGGGATGCTGGTGGGTGAGAGGTGGGACATGAGGCCACCAGTGTGCTCTTTCATCCCAGAAATCTAAATGTGTCCTGGGCTGCATCAAAAGCAGTGTGGCCAGCAGGTGAGGAAGGGCATTCTGCCCTTCATGAGACCCCACCTGGAGCATTGCATCCCGCTCTGGGGTCCCCAAAACAGGAAGGACATGGACCTCTTGGAGCTACTCCAGAGGAGGGCTATGAAAATGATTGGAGGGATGGAGCATCTCTCACATGCAGAAAGGCTTAGAGAACTGGGGCATTATTGCCTCGTTGATGGCCATGCTCCTTCCTTTGTGGCTCAGCAGAGAAGGTGGCAGCAGTGGGAGTTAGTTGGTCTACCAGGAAGAGTAGAGTGGGACTTCAGTTTTCTGTCTTGCATTATCTGACCAGGACTTGTAGCTGAAGTTTTTTTTTCCTCCAGGAAAGGAGATGAAGTCAGACAATGTGAAAACAGCTGTGGAGTGAGCTCAGTGCAGTTCTGTGCTTTAACAGAAGTGTTCTTTCTGTGACAAAGTCAGAACACTTTTTTTTTTCCCTGGGCTTTTTTTTCCTCCCTCCCTTCCCCTTTCAGCTCAACAAACCTCAAACATTCTGCCTTGTGTGAAGTATTATAACAGGCCTAGAGGCTGAGGAAAGCACATGTATCAGTTACGTACAGCAGAGCTGAAGTAACTACTTGTATCATGACCTAATTTATTTTTCCTCTCATCTGGGTGGTAATTTCTCTTTTATCTAAAATTGCAACTTTTTCAATGGGACTTCAAATGAGATATTTAAGCACATAATTGTAATCTGTTGTGGGAACACCAGATAGAAGAAGGAAGTCTTCAACTTAATTTTTTCATAGATAATAACTAATATACATGGTTACTGAATTCAGTTACTTGTACAAGCAACATACTTCCAAATTTAAAATCTATGGTTAGTTAACAGCAGGCTTCTAATTTTACACACAGACACAAATAGAGGACAAAAAAATTACCTAAGGGACCTGGAAAGTTGATGTTAGTTTTAATTGTGTTGGGAAGGAGAAGTCATGGAAGTATTTTACTCTTTGAATTCTTGAATTTAATAACTCTTGCTTGTTTTTTAATATTTATAGGGTTTAAAATTGTTAACAGCAGTTTTCTAAACGAGTTATCTTGTGTGCAGTGGAAGGGTTTGTGCTGCTCTCGTTGCTTCTGAGTCTTGCTCTGTACCCTGAGATGTGAACTGAACACTCACCTGTGTACAGAACAGGAGACCTGCTGAGCTCCAACAAAGTGGTTTGCTCGTGGGCAGTAGCTCATATCATAGATAAATAGATCTCCAGTAACTCTTCCTTACTCTGAATAGTGTCAGGTATCTTTTGGAAAAGTTAAAAATATGAATTTTTATGTTAATAATTTTTATTGTTATTAATAGTTTTCTAGTACTATATGCAAATGTAACCTGGTATGCCTATATTCAGCTTCCATATTTCTCTTCCATAGGTACATAAAAAGGATAAAAAGTATAAGTGTATGGTGTGTAAGAAGATTTTCATGCTAGCAGCCAGCGTTGGAATAAGACATGGATCACGACGTTACGGAGTTTGTGTAGACTGTGCAGATAAATCCCAGCCTGGAGGGCAAGAGGGAGCAGACCAGGGGCAGGACACAGATTTCCCTAGGGATGAAGAATACGAAGAAAATGAAGTGGGAGAAGGCGACGAGGAGCTTGGTGATGATGTAGAAGAACAGAATGACCAATCTCGGTGGGATGAAGGCGGGGAAGTTTGTATGCCTTTAGATGACTGACAGAGCATGAGACTTCAGGGTGCTGCAAATGGACACTGTATGGATTGACTGTTTGAATTTTTGGACTGAAGGCTTGTGAAATATGGTACAGGCTGGATGGTAGTTATGTTGCTGTGAAAATGTAGGGTCAAAGCCTTATAGCAAAAAAAGGATTATTAATTTTTTTATGATATTTGCACAGGACTGTACAGCATACAACCGTTTGGTTGAATTATACAGAGTCCTCACATCTACAGTCAGTTATCAAAATAAAAATGTATTTTTTATTATTTATAGGCTATAGCTACTTGGGTCCTATTCAGACATAGTAGTAACTGTAATTATGTTACACATTCATGTACCTGTTTACATGAATGAAGAAAATTGCAATTTGGTATGGAAACACAAAGACAGCTTTCCCAAATCCACTCGTACTTTTGTCAGCGAGTCAGTGAAGCTAATTTGGGCTAGTGGCTCATTTTCCACAAGCATGTCTTTGCCATACAAACCTTACCTCTCCTGTAATCTGATAGGTGAAAGCCAATCATTTAAATATGTGTCACAGATATTGCCAACACCGTATTGAAATTTGGGTTGAAAACTTTTGGCTCTATGCTGGCAGGTGCTATGGGTGATAAGCACTGGAGAAGTTTTTAATGGCATTAATTTAGTGTCTGTTTTTAAAGAAGGTTGTTGTTGATTCATCAGTTTTAAAACGATAATGCAGAAGAAATGACCAGTAATGAAAATAATAGACTGATCAGAGCATGGGTAACTCTTGTGCCACTTAGTCAAAAGAGACAGTCATGCTTTTTAAAAGATATCTGATGTAATAATGTTTCTTCTTTCTTCTAAGGCCCCCCCCTTCTCTCAAAATTTTTTTGTTTCCCTGGTGTATACCTCAGTCCCACAGAATAAAAATACAAGAAATGGAGAAAGTGTCATATTAAAACAACTTTTTGGTCAATAATTTCTTACTTGTCCGTTTTTTGGCTAATTTATGTGATGTGAATTGGACACTAAGCTATTGTGCCCATCGTTCATCATTGAACACAAACTATTTTTTATTCTTTTGTACTTCATGGGTTGTTGTTAGTATTTAATATAAACAAACTACATTTAACTTGCTCATTTGCTGGATTTTTTTTAAAGAAAATAAGTCCAAAGCAAAATAGTGCTCCTTGAGTTGTCTACTTTTCAGGAGGATATGCTCCCTATGCTCTTTGTTTCAGATTTTCTAGGAGGCATTGAAACTTGAATTTTCATAGCCACGTAGGTTTTTTTTTGTTTTGTTTTGTTTTGGTTTTTTTTTCCTAAGCTTGTAATATTGTACCAATGATTTCAGGCCCCTTCATAGGGAGGCAAGGGCATTACACCTTCACCTTAAACTCCTCTATGTTGTCTAGCCTAAGGCAACTAAGGCAAGTTAATTCAGGCAATCATTGGAACAATAAGTCTGATGTACTGTTATGTCACAGTGAGTAAATATGCAGAGCATTTGTCATGACACATAGCTAGGCCAGTGTGACAGTACTGTATAAAAAACAATTGAGGGTCACCATATTTTTCAATTTTGTTTAATTATAAAATGAGTATATTTTTTCCTATTTTATGTCAGGTAACTAAATTATGGTAGTTGTGTGGATAACTTTGAATTATGCTTTGATGGACAAAATCTTACTGGTGCTCCATCTGATCAAAGTTGGTATGTATTTAAAGAGACAAGCTTTATGTTGTCCATAGAACAGTAACATAATGTTAAGACATTGTTTTTGCTGATTGAAACTGAGATGATAAGTTTGAACTACAGTTATATGGGAATTAAAATGCTTTTTTTTATCATCCACTTGTTTCATTGGTAGTTTCCACATCATTGTAAACCTGACATGAATAGTTTTTTGGGGAGGGTGGGGTGGGTGGGGTACGTTTTTTTACACTGAAGATTACATTTTATTCTCATTGTTCTAGACTGAATTGAGTAATGTGTAATTCTGGTGGGGTCCAAAGTAGAAATTAGTTAGGCAAAGATGATATGAATGAAAAAGTATTTTAAACGTTAATGTTCTGCTTTGTGAATATGTAAGTATAGCATAAAGATTTTTCCATCCCATTTATCCCTTTTAAAACCATAGTTTACAATTGGTAGATCTGTCTATATATATAAATATATATATATATATCTGAAATTCACCTAAATCTGCTTTATTAGAATACTGCTCACTTAATGCTTAGAAACTGGACCTGGCTCTACATTCTTAATGTATTTTCCTTTTTTTTTCCCCCCTTTTGTTTTCTTGGGATTTTTTCCTCAAGGTATGAACTTATTCTCTTGGAACTGAATCTTCTTTTACTACTTAAATCATTTATGTATATCTGGTAAATTATGACCAAATTTGTTGTTAGACTGCATTACAGTAAATTGAAATATACACTTGGTACACTACAGAATCGTTGTGCTTTTGTTCTGGTTCTGTTTGGAAAAGCAGGCCTTAGTAGACATTTGTGTTATTTATAACTATTCAGTTATTATTCACTGGCCTTAATATTCTGTTGCATTGTGACAATCATAATTTCCTTGGTAAAGCTTAACTGCTTGCTTTCAGAAGTTGCATGTAAGTGCCCATGGTAGGCTGGAGAGCGAGGGTGACTGTCTCTAGCAAATGGTGTGAAATACTTCAATCAAGGGCCACTGTTCTTGTCTTGGAGGACCTTAAGAATTCAGGTGCTATCTCCAGTCTGGCTTTTCTGAGTTGTTTTATTTAGAAGTTATTTAAAACATGTTAGCTTGATTTGGTATAGTTCTAAATTAATAAAACAAAACTTCTGAAGTCAGAACTACTTCTTGCCAGACAGCTCAAGTTTCTTCACTATTATAAGAATTAGGAAGAGATTTCTCTTTGTGTAAGAAATTCTTTCCCTCAAGAAATGCTGAAGTTATGCTGCAGTAACACAGCAATGGATTTTGTCTGTTGAGATTTTTTTTCTGTTTTAAAAGAAGACTGATGCCCTTAAAATGTCATATTTATCGAACGAAAAGACATTCAGTCTTTCATTTTGTCTTCTGATGAAATAATTCTCAACCCAAATGTCTGCAATTTGTGTGTTTGGGCAATGCCACACAAGTAGTTTTATTAAGAGTCATGTCTGTTATTAAAACAAACAAAGTTTGTCTGATGTTGGGATTCCCGCTTTCTCCGAGGGTTTTTGTTTGCTTTCTGCTCTCTTCAAGCAGTAGTGGGCATCTTTTAGATGTAATCATACAGAACAGTTTCTGGCAGGATACTGTGATGCAGGACAAAATTTAAAATTAGTAAGTAAATTCACTTTAGATTCACAAGTAGAAGTTCTGGTCAAAGTAGGTCAAATGATGTAAGGAAGGCACAACATAAAATGTGTTTGTCTTATGTCAGTGTTACTACACTGCATTAGAAAGCATTTTTCAATTGCAAGGACAGATGCATCTTGCAGGGAAAATGGGATTTTCCAATTACTCAGATAAATTTTGTAGTTCAGCTTCCAAACAATCCTCTAGTAAAGTAATTTTGGCCATGAAACCAGTTTTGAAAACCAGAAGTTGTATTTATTTGTCAGTATGCATCCTAAGAAGTATGAGTTGCAATTACTTGTTCCCATAGTGCACACCTGGTTTTTGAGATGTGTAGCCTTCTGCAAATGCAGTTTTCAGGTATCACTACGTGTCACTACTCTTTCTTCTGACAAGAATAAGCATTATCAAGTGAAGAAAAGTTGGGGGCGAGGACACCTGGCATGAAGTATGCTCCTAGTTGTGGGTCACAGCAGTAATGCTGTTAGCAGATGATGTTTTCCTTGCCTAGCTTTAAGTTGATAAGGCTTTTAATAGGATTTGCTTTAATGAGGCCAATCTCAGTTGTTAGCTTGCTTTTAAGTTTTGTTTCACTTGATTTTTCTTGCTCTTGCCACCCAGCAACACAGGTCTCCCACCTGTTCAAAAATATTTTTGTAGTCTGCTGATTTCACATAGATGCAACATTCACTTTTGGAAGTACTGTACCTTGTTTGCTGTTCCTTTTTTACTTTGTTATATTTAAATGGCTTTAGAAATTGAAATGAAGGCAAGATAATTGATGCCACCACCAGCCTAAAAAACTTGTGCCAAAAGAGAGTGAAAAAGGAGCAAAATGTGGAGTGCAATGTGATAAGAAAAAGGCTGTTGAGTTTGCATTGTTACAACTCCTCTGGTTTGTTACTTGAATGTTTTGGACAATTCACTGTATTTTTCTCTAGCACTAGTTGGTGACAACCTTCTGATGAAGAAGCTATGCAAGCCCAGTTTTGAGTTTATTAGTGTCTTCAGAATGTGGTTCAGGCTCTGCAGAGGTAGTAGCACTGAGTAGCTTTCTGTAGATATTTTACTGTAGATCCTTCTGTTAGCATCCCTCTTCACTGTGTGATCTGTTACCCATTTTTTATTTGATAAATGTTTGCTCCTTTGCCTTTTTATACATTTTAATAGCACGTTACTGTGCATTGCTGAACAGTATGGTAAAGGTTAAATATTGACACATTGGATAAAGAGAAATAAGTTGGTTTTCATCTAGTATCTTTTAACAAACCTGTAATAAAATTATTCCTATGTAATAAATAAAATACAGGTTTGAAATCCAGGGGAAGGGGTGTTGCTGAGCAGAACCCTTTAACATTAAAGATTCCATGTATAATTCACCATGGGTTGTGAAAATAATTTTATGTGGGAAAAAACTTAAAACTACACTAGAAAGATCCTATGAATTGAACTTGAAAATAAAATTGGCTTATCAAGTACTTTGTATTTGGCATTATTGCAATTTGAAGTGAATGTTTTAAATAAGTTATACATGTTTCTTACCTGAATCAATTGGGTTAGCCACTTCAGGATACAGATAAAAGTAACTTCTCACTAACATTTTGGTGTGTAAACATAACTTTAAGACTTCTAATACTCTGTGCACCAGTTTTTAACTTACCATGCTGCAAATAAATGAAAGAATAAGCATTTTATTCTATTTATTTTTCTGTGCCTTGCCTCCTCACCCTCCACAAGTAGATAATAAGAGATTTCTTTGGGTGGCCAAGTGTTAACATTTAATACTAAAAAAACCCCAACAACTTGCTGCAAATAATTTCTGCTTCTGACATAGAATAGAGTTTGTAGAAAATAGATGTTATTTTGTGCTGTATTTTTAAACTTCTCTCATAATAAGGCAGGTTTAGACATACATTATTATGCCAACTTAAAGATGACTAGTTTCCAAAAAGCAGAATCCAGGTAAGGTGGTTATACCTAAAACTGGATTTTAGACAAACTAATGCAAAGCTGAGCAGGTCACAGATGGGGTATTTCAGCCCCAGTCTAGTGTTAGCAGAAGGTTTGGATCCCCTCAGAAATGCAGTAATTATGTGTGTTCCCAAAGGCTTTCTCTTGCTGTTTTGTTCCCTCCCTCCAGCTCCACCAACCTAAAAATTTTGAAGCAAGTGCTTTCAGCTGGGTTTGTCAAAAGCTTCTTGTCTGAACAATGCTGGATATGTGTCTAAACTGATGCTTGGGCTTCTGTTACCTTCAAAAGGTGGGTTATTTTTGGTAGATTGTACACAAGTGGGTTTCTTCAGTGAGATATCATCCCTTTGGGTCTTTGAAGGGTTTGAATACTTTGAAATTTTCTGCTTGCCCTATAGAGAAAGATTTAGGTTTGATATCCTGGACAGGCAAGTCTGCCTGTGTGTCTTGAATACCAGGGGTTACTGAAGACCAAAGGCCTCTGTCCAATTAGATTTTCCTATTCCCTGGATCTGCACACTGCACATCTGATTGTATCTAGAGCATGTGAGGAAATGGTCTGGTGGGGGACTAGAGCTCCAGTTTGGGAAGAGCCTGGAAAGTAACTTCTAGGCCATTGAACAATCTTCAGCATTATTTTTAATTATCTGACTGGTGTTTCTCAGAAAATTGTCTTTAGACTTGAATATATTGTAAGATTGTTAATTGTGATACAGTAATGTGATTTCTTTTTTGTTAAATGTATATGAATGATTATATTTTGTCTAAATATGTTAGGAAAGTTTCAGAGTCCACAGAACAGTGTTAACTGTGTAGCTAGAAAGAAGCAGCTGCAGAAAAAGTATGTTTGTTAAAATTCAGCTAGTTCAATCTAATTAGGTAAGAATTAACACTGGGACAGCAAGGAGCTCTAGAAGTTGAACTGCAAAGTTGGAGGGAGGGTGGTGGAAAAGCCAGTGCTGCGTGAATGTAGCAGCTTTGTTAATGGGCCTGAAGTCTGGGTGCATTCAGCAAGGAAAAGGTGCTTATCTTGCAGCTGGGCTCAGTTGGTGTTGCTGTAAGACCCTTGAAATGCTGGCCTTTAAAGGGTAGACCTAACATCAAACTTTGAAGTAGTCAGCCTCCCTTTAGCTTGGAAATGCATACAGATTTCCAATAGTGCCAAATTATTTTCAGATCAAATGAAGAGGGGATTGTGAGCATGTGATTATATAATTTCAATGCATTTATTTCCAAAAATTCATGCAGTAGAAGCATAGTGTATTAGTCCAGTTCCTTCAGAGATTTTATTGATATTGATTGCCAAAACTGTCAGCTTGAGAAGAAATGGTAGCTGCATCCCACTTCTATAAACCTGAGATGCCTCTGGCTTGGAAGGGTTGCTTTTATGTCAGTGTGTGCTGCCTTCTCCTGAGATACTGTCTGCATGGGCTACATCTTGTTCAAACTAGCCTTAAGTTCCTCCTCCTGGGTTTAGGTTGCAAAACGTCAGTGAAGAAGTGTCACAAAATAAATCTTACCTGGGAATATTTTTCTTGTTTCACATTGCTGAAATGTGGGAAATAAATTTCTGAAGCATTGCTTTAATTGAAGCATTCTCTAAGTAACTATTTTCCTTAAGAAATGCTGCTTTAGTGAGTGACCTGCATGTGCTCTTTAGATGTTGTCATGCCATCTTTCTGCAAGTTATCCTCTGCATCCACTTGGAGATCACACTACTGAGGTCATAGGATATAATATTAGTATGTCCATAAATTATTTTCATCTTTTTCAGAAATTGAGATAATTGAAAAAGAGGGGGAGTGGGAAGGTTTATCTCTTACCTTTGAGTAACTGGAATTCAGGGAAATGCTTGCTTTTAAACATTACTGAGACTTGATATGCCAAGATATTTATAAACTGCATAGGATATATTACTCTGGCTAAATTTGCAACAATTACCATTGCCATTTTCAGTCATAGTTTTTTCAGAACTATTGGATTTATCTCTAAGTAATCTTTCCTGTGATAGCTCTAAGATAATTTGCAACTATGGAGGATCTACTCATTTCCTAGAAACAGTAAGATATGGTTTTCCTATGTTTACAAAGGAGTTGTCAATAGCTTTCTGTTGATAATTATGCTGCTTTGGATTCCTCCTTGAATGGTGGTT